GCACAAGACAGAAACCCACAAAGCAAAGCCCACACCGACAAAGCAATAAGAAGCCAGAGAGTTGATAGCATGAAGCCTTGCAGCAGCGTTGGTGCTGAGAAGGCAGCAGCCAAGGAAGGCTTGATGTGCCGAGCATGCTGGGCTCGGGAATGGCGGTGTTGCTGCCTTGCTTAAACCTTCAGCCCCTTTGCTGGTGCTCCTCACATTGCACCAGAATGGGAAGAGTGGAGGTACAGGGAAACACACAATGGGAAATAAATGGTGTAAAATGGTGTGTGAAATGGTGTGTGTGTGTGTGATAGTGAGTGTGAAATGGTGTGTGAAATGGTGTGTGAAATGGTTTGTATGATGGTGAATGTGAAATGGGGCGTGTGATGCTGAATGAACCTCAGCACCGCCCTTCCAGCTGGATATTGCTCACCACACCACACCACATCATACCACACATCACACCACACCACATCATACCACACATCACACCACACCACATCATACCACACATCACACCACACCACATCATACCACACATCACACCACACCACATCATACCACACATCACACCACACCACATCATACCACACATCACACCACACCACATCACATAATATCACATTCCACCAGACCACATCACATCACACTAGCAGAGCACCACACCACACGACGCAGCAAGCTCTGATGAGTCATAGCTGTGAATCACCATGCCGCACATTGCCCTTACTATGATGGGCAAGCGTGTCACGCTCTAAGGGTGACTATGGGGCCAGTCGCTCAAACTTACCCTGGCAAAACATTGACGCTGGCAATTGGGAGAGCATCCTGAGAGCAGCAGCAGCAGCACCAAGGGATTTTTTTTGCAGTGCAATGAAAGACGTTTTCCATATGCAAAAGACTGACCTGGAAGTGCGCAGCCGCATCAATTGCACGCAGTGTGGCAATCGCACTGTTCAGGAGTATGCCAATGAGTTCGAGCAGACTATGCTACTCCTAGTCGTCGCTATCACAGAGAACGAGACAATGTCGTCGTTCTACGAAGGCTTACCCCAGTGGCTTCGCGAGAGGCTCGTGCTGGGCAGGAACCAGTACGCTATGTACAAGGAGCTCAAAACAGCTGTCATCGAGCTCGACGTGAGCATCCTTACCTGCCTTAGCGCAGCCAAGGGTGATCTGTAGAGCGGGGATGAAGACCCTACTGGCCAGAACAATGCGGCACAACCTTCTAATGGGAAGGGCCCTTGGAAGAAGAGGCCCTTTCAGCTGCAGAGCCAGCAGAATGGGCCATGTTATAGTCACAATAGGCTTGAATGTGCCTAAAACGAAAGATAGAGAGCACAGACGGATTTCTGCACAGCGGCTTCAAACGTTGATAGCGTTCTGCTCACAGCTGCAAATGACTTGATTCAAATTGGATCTGGAGCGTCTTTACGTCGTCTACAATTAGCAATTTAGATTGCACGATTTGATAAAGAATTGACGACACAGCGTCGGTTTGAACGAACGGTACTATGGCAGCCACTATAGTCTTAGAACACAAGATAGGAAGAGTTACGAGTTGGGAATGACTCCCAGCTCCTACAAACCCCAAGAGCCGAGGTACAGTGATGTGGAACAGTGCCACACTGTCCCCAACCACGAAGGGTCTCGAAACTACCCTCCACAAGGGCCTACACCAAGAGAAATGTTACATTACACAAAGTAATGCAACTATTCTCACTATCTTAAAGTTTACCCTTTTGGAGAGCTTCGAAATAACTTGAATCTTGAAACCAAGGCTCTGGTTCTTCAAGGTAAATTCTTCCTTGAGTTCTTGGAAGTCTGCTGCGCACACCTGCGACACGCCAAACGTTCCACACACGACAAAATAGAAAACCGCACACGACACGCAAACAACGACGTGACACGCGACTAGCGATAACTCGCTATTGACTCGACGCACACATTCAAAATCATGCTTCATCATACACACACTATTGTAAACATGAAATATATATTATTTCATGCCCTCATACCATTCCATGCACACACGCATGCACGCACACGGACAACAAGCCGAATGCAAACCGTAGGGTTGCACCAACAAACTCCCCCTTGGATTGTTGGCCTTAGGATCTTGCTCTCTCAGTTCAGAGCCATCCCAGCCAGCTTGCAACACTTCCAATGCTGCTGCTCCACCAGCCTCTTGGTCATCATGTCAGCTGGCTGCCTTGTCGTCTTCACATAGTGCAACTCAACTTCACCCGCGGCCACCATGCTCCTCGTCCAATGCCACTTCACCCTCATGTGCTTGGTGAGGCCATGCAACACAGGGTTCTTAGCAAGAGCAATGGCACCCTGGCTGTCACAGTACAGTGGGGTAGGTCCTTGCTGCTCCTCCCCCAATTCAGCCAACAAACGCCGCTGCCACACAATCTCCCGTACGGCACGGAAGAGTGCCATATACTCGGACTCCACCGAGCTCAATGCTTGATCCACCTGCTTCTTGCTCTCCCAAGCAGTTGGGCCT